CTTTCTGTCTCTATGTCTCTCTCTGTCTGTCTGGCGAGCGCACGCGCCCTATAGCAAAAAAACCTCTCCCAAAAAAAAAAAATTTTTTTTTAAATGTTTTTACGTATTTCATTCAGTTTTATTTGTTTATTTATTTATTTATTTTTTGGAGAGGTTTTTGCTATAGGGCGCGTGTGCTTGCCAGACAGACAGAGAGAGCCAGAAAGACAGAAAGTGAGAAATCACCCCCCAGGGGGGATGGCCACGCCTCAATCCCTTCTCCTCCATTCTCCTCTCGGGATCTTGGGCACGCACACACATGCGCCCGGCGTGAGTTTAAGCCACTGGGTCCAGGATGTGAACTGTGGTCGACTATGTGGGAGTCCAGTGACATAGCCATTATGCTAACTGCTGGTCCCTTATTTGTTTATTTATTTATTGTAATTTGACCAGAAAGAAACAGAGCAAGAGCGAGAGTGAGACAGAGTTCAGCACCCTTAACCACCATGCCACATGCTGGCCCCAAAGCAAACCCAAGAGGTCTCTGAAGGCAGTAGGTCTTCTCCATTGCAGGGGCCTCCCTTGGTCCCTTTCTGGCTCTTCCCTCATGGGTCACCTGTCAGGGAGGCTCAGGGACACACGAGAGCACTGGCCAGCTTGTGGCAGATGTGCCGCAGCAGTATGTCAAAGACAGTGCTCACACCAAAGCAGAGCTCTGCTTGCCCTGCACTGAAATGGCCTGGAAAAATACCCCAAAATATGAGATGGCAGAGGCAAACGTTTTAACATCTTAACCTAAAGGGTGAAAGGGGCAGGGCCCTTCCTGTAAATGTACATGGGAAACCCAGCAGTTAAGGTTTTGTTTTGTAACAAACCGGCTAGAGAAAACTCACCAGTGGAAGAAACATCAGCCGTGTAACTAACTAACCAAACCCACCGGCTTGGAGTCCAGCATTCCCACCTGCCTACCTTTCTGCTCCAGGATGACGGACACCACATCTGGATGATTGTAGGCGATGGCCATGTGCAGTGGCGTCTGCAGATAGACGTTGTCCGTTGGGTTGCTCAGGGAGGTGGCCTCCTTTGGGAAGGGCAGAGCCTCCTCTGTCTGCAGGTTTGGGTTGGCACCTTGCTGCAGGAGCTCTGCAGTGAGGTTGGCCAAACCATGCCGGCAAGCTGTGTGCAACGGGGTTTCTCCCTGAGTAGAAACAAACAGACCCAAATCTGAGCACCCAAAGGCAGCGAGTTCCCTTCACAAAGGTATTAACAATCGTGCAAATGCTGAAACTCGGCCGACCTTGCCAGTCACAGCCCTTGGCTCGCCTTGAGCACGCATGCGCACACGCCTGGCGTAGGTTTCAAGCCGCTGGATCTGGGACTTGAACTGGGGTAGATTATGTGGGAGTCCAGTGACGTAACCATTACACCATCTGCTGATCCCCATGTTCATCTCTTATAACCTCTTGAACCACCATTCACACCTTTATAACTAGTTTTTTCTCATCATAAAATAAAATTATCATAAAATGGTGACAAACCTCCTCCAACTATCAACAAAACAAACACTGTAGAAAACAGAAGAGCCTTGTCGTCCCAGCTCCTGATGAAAGCAGGCTTACAATATGGGTGTCGCTCCTGTTTAACTAGCACGCCCTGCTTCTCCGACCCGCTCACAGCAACTTCCTCTTGAACTCGGATCAAGACCTCCTTCTCCCGGGCCAGATGGAGGTGCAGCAGCAACACTGCGGTGCTGGACTGTGGGAAGGGCCGCGTGTGCGTCCTGAGCCTTCCTGTACACTGTGGACACGTGCCATGCTTACAGCGGGCTGTGGGTGGGGCATGGTGTGAGACCCTGGTGGAGGTCCATCTCTGTCTCTCTCAGACAGATATAAATAAATGGATAATAATAATAAAAAAACACTCTAATTTTCAAAAATAAAAAATACGTTTGTTTCATTGGTATTACAAGTACATGATTCAATATTTAAAAGGTACAAAGATATTCAGTGAAAAGAAGTCTCTTCTCACACCTGGCTCTAATTCTCCATCACCTTCCTCCAAAGAAAGCATCAGCAGGCATTTCACATTTCTCTCCAACGACAGAGTGTTTGTAGAAAAACGCACCTCCTTTCCCCTCAGAAAAATTCTTTTCCAGAGGGGAATCTTTTTCCGTTTCTTTTTTAGATTTTTGCCAAAGGGCACATGTACTTGATAGAGAGGAAACAGAGAGAAAAAGTGAGAAATCACCCCCAAGAGATGGCCACCCCGAAATCTTTGTTCCTTCCTTCTCCCTGTGGGACTCTGAGCATGCAGACACATGTGCCTGGCGTGATTTTCCAAGCCACTGGGCCCTTGACCCGCGCAGTAGGTCATGTGGGATCCAATCGCCTTAACCCCCATACCACCTGCCGGCCCCGGAGGGAACCATTTCCAGCTCTTCTAGCTGCGTCTCTGTAACCTCCGTATTTCCAACCAGCATGTTTTTATTGCCACGTCTTGATTTCTCAGCTGCAGACTTTACCTGTGGACTCGAGTTCTTACTCTTTGACCCCACGTGCACCTTTCCACCCCACATCCTCCCCGAGAACCGCAGCGTAATTGTAAGAGCCTCCCCGCATCGCCCTCCTCGGCGTGCACTTCTGCCCAGGCACTTCCTACGCTCTCTCTTGAGTGTGTCACTCCTGTGGTTCCCGTCAGTATCTGCGAGCAGGAAGCTCTCGAATCCAGGTCTCTAGCCTTGTTTTACGTTCAGTTTTCCCAACGCCTGCTAGACACCCCTGCCTCAATTTTCAGAAAGGAACTCAACAACCGCAATTGGAATGGACTCGTTCCGCACCAGCTCTTTCTCCTCACCTCCTTTTTTTTCAAGAGGGGTTTTAATACTTCTCTTGATCTTGCTTCGGGGAGCCACGAACAGCATATCCTGCTGACTATACCTCTGCAATTGTTCTGGAACCTGTCCCTTTGGATCTGAAGCTAGTGTGAGAGGTCAGGACAGGCCATTCCTTGTCTCAGTAATTCCTACCCGGCTCTAGCCTGGACAAAAGGGCACACCCACCATGCCAGTCATCCCAAGCAGCTTCTTCAACTCTGTAATGATCACACTGTTCTGCCCAAAACTCTCCTGGGGATCTTCTCTTCCCAAAAGATAAAGTCCAGGTAACTTCTGCCGGCATTCTAGGCCCTGTACATTGTGCCTCTCACGTGCTTTCTAGTCAGATCTCTCCGCAGCCTCTGTATCTTAGGTTTCACCCAGTTTTGCTGTGAAGACTGTCAGATAATGCATGCTCGAAGGACAGTACTTTTTAGAGTTGGAAGAGAGTAGAGCCTATCTCTACACTAGCAGAAATAGTAGGCGGGATCAGAAGATGGTGTGATGGTTAGGTCGCTGGACTCCCATGCAGTCGACTGCAGTGCGAGTCCCCGAATCAATGGCTTAAATTCACACTGGGGGGAACAGCAGTTAGCGTAATGGCTACGTCACTGGACTCCCACGTAGTCAACCGCAGTTCAAGTCCCGGAACCGGTGGCTTAAATTCACGCCAGGCGTGTGTGCGTGTGTGCCCAAGATCCTGAGAGGAGAATGGAGGAGAAGGGATTGTGGCGTGGCCATCCCCCCTGGGGGGTGATTTCTTGCGTTCTGTCTCTGTCTCTGTCTGTCTGGCGAGCGCACACACCCTATAGCAAAAAACCTCTCAAAAAAAAAAATAACACTGGGTGTGTGTGTGT